AGTAATAGTATTAGACTGTGGGGCAAGGGCCAGTTAACCATCTAAAAAAAAAGTTTCGTAGTCCCATCTTTGGCAGAGAAAACTAACTATACCAAATGATTGTGATGAAGTTGCTGATGAGAAAACACCTTTGTTCTCCAAATTTCGTACACCCGTTGATGAGATAATATGCTAATTAGTTTAATTGGATTTTAACAAGATTTCCTTGAAAAAGACTAGCACCAACTATGGTAAATAGTCCATTTTGCTGATTCAAAGTTGCTATTTCTTGATTCTTTTTTTCAAAATGTTTATTTCAGACCTCTATGAGACTGTTCAGGTGTGATTTTTCTGCGCAATTAATTTAATTCGCTAATTAGTTTTATTGGATTTTAACAAGATTTCCTTGAAAAAGACTAGCGCCAGCCATTTTGCTGATTCAAAAGGCATTCAAATTTGCTATTTCTTGATTATTTTTTGCAAAAAATTTATTTGGGACCTCTATGAGACTGTTCGGGTGTGATTTTTCTGCGCAATTAATTTATATTTATGCTGTTGGTGAACTTGAAAACACTAATTGCAATTTTCCATGTGTTTTTATTATTTTTTTTCAGCACGTCATCAAGACGAGTTTTGTTAAGCCCAAGTTATGTAATTTCTTGCATCTTGTTTAAGTTACCATCTGGTTGTATATTCATGTCACTCATTTAACTCTACCTTTTTTTTCTCTATTTCTCTCTCTCTCTCTCTCTATTATCTGTCTATCTCTCTCTCTCTCTCTCATCACACACGTTTTTTGTTCTCATGTCTCCTCTTAAAAATCTCTTTTTCTTCCCCTGTTGTTTTCTCCTTACTCTTCCACTCTCCTTCATCATATTTTACCTTATTATATTCAACATGTCTTATTGAGTTTCATCAACTGTGCAAACTCCTTCCAATCAAATCATCAATATTGTTGCTTTTAGTTTATTTTCCACTTCCCCGAAAAATATATTGCTGTTCAAAACTTTGTTAATACTAATACTAGGTAGTACTAGCAACACTGCTCATGGTCTGCATATAGCATCAGTTTAGAACAATACAAATTTCAAAGAGAAACCTAACAACAAATTCATACCAAAACTGCCAAATAAATTATATTCTTCTCTGTTTAATTTGATTTCATTCATTACGTAAAATGTATTACCGTACTACCATTTTGTCAATGACATTTATCTACAAGTAGCTTATTACCGGGTACTTTTTCTAATACCGGTACTTGCCACTGCCAGTGAAATCAGAACTATGGTACATGTATGTTGTAATTTACAAATACAATTTAACTTGAACTGCAAAGATTGTTAACAGTTTTTACATAAATATTGATGGAATTGAAATAAATTATGAAACATTGATAAGATGTGTCTAGTCATTTGTTGTCTTTTTTTTTGGTTCAAAGAAAATGTCCTAAAATATGTTGATAGAAAAATTGCCAAAAAGCTGTTACTGCTGAGGAATTCATAAATTTTACATATTTCGATTACCACAAGTGTCCAAAGAGTGTGATGGAAAGTTTGAAACGACCCATATATTTGAACGTAATAAAGTTTTATATTTGACTATAAATCTTGGCAAAGCTTCAACATGGCAAAATACATGTATGCATAATAAATAATAAATGTCCATATTATTATTATTATTATTATGAAACAAATGAGCATGCAATGCAAGTACAATAGTACATTACTGTGATTACTTGTAATATTACTGTTAGCAAAATAATTCATTTTGCTTTCCTTGATACAATTCTTATCAATTAATCAATATAATTATCAGGTCTGGAATAAATAGGGAACTGTAGGACATCGTTTCCTTGACATTTGAAGGAAAATGTTTGCCTCTTAATGAAATATAAATTGGAACAGTTTGTAACAATCAAACCTTGGGAGATTAATTTTGGCATCTAAAAAAAACATTTTTCCAGCTCTGAAATTATATCTGTACATATATTTAGTATATTCTTATATTACAGGTGCACATAATGTATATGTAAAACACCCCAGTCGACCCATACATTTGTATATGTCTATTCATGAAAGGTTGGTTATTTTGTACATAATTTACAAAGGAACCATAGGGATATAAAAATCTTTTTTTTTAATCCCCAAATTGAATAAGAAATATCAGAGAAAAAGTTTCACAATGATCTTGCCTTTGTTCATTTTAATTTTGTCATATATATTTGTTGTTATCAATAGAACCAGTTAATGTTGAAAAATCTGCTGATAAACAGCAAAAAATATTGCATACATTTAGTGCTCAATATGAACGCGTAAATTTTATGCTGATGGTCTCAAATAGGTCCAACAAATCAAAGCTGGCAGATGAGCGCCGAGATTGTAGACTCCTACACAGCTTCTTAGGTTGTGAAGGGATATCAGATGGATCTGGGGGAAAAAGAATATAAAACACTAGGTCAAAAACAAAGCTAATATCAAAAATTGGCGATAGCTTCGCTGTCATTTCAAAAATTTCAGATAGCTTTGGCGTCTTTTGAAAATTCTTTAAATGTTTCAAAAACAAAAATTCATATTAGTCTATAAGTCATTTCGAAAATTGGCAATAGCTTCGCCGTCTTTTCTATTTTAAAATTAAAATTGTTGATACTGATAGCTTGACAGCCGCCATGTCTATCTTCATGTTAGAAAAAGTGCCCCTTGTCTAAATAGGCTTTGTATTTTGACCCCTAGTGTGGAACTATAATGGCGTCATGCACTGATTACAAAAAATGTAAACAACACACCACATCCCAACATTAAAATATAAACTAGTCTAGTTTAAAATAATGCTGTTTTGACCAGGACAATAAGTTAAACTAACTAGGAAGGCATGTCTAAAGTTAAGTAAAGCCTGGCTCAATGCGTCCAACTTGTTCGACATTTTTTTTGTTTTCCATTAGGCCTATTATAATTTACAGCTAAGGAAGGAGGGTCTACATGTACGTACATGATTACATCAATGACCGTTGATGTCAACTCACAGAGGCATTGTAAACTATTCAATCAACTGACAAACTTCATCATTCAAGCTCCATCATGCATGAATGAAGGGCCTAAATCTAGGCCTAGAGCCTAGAGCCTAGAGCCTAGAGGGTCTAGATTCTAGACTCTATTCTCTAATTGTTTTTTTTTTAATGAGGCTAGATCTAGATCAAAGTCAAAGGCAGGGCCTTAATTTTTGCTGGGTTATCATGGTTATTGCAAACAAAGAAATTGAAACTCACCTTCAAATTCAGTCTTGTTAGAATCTCGAGGTATTTTACGGAGAAAAGTGCAAAATTGCGACGGATTTCCTTGCCAATGTCGCCGGTATTGAACCGTATACATACAGCGACAGTACCAGTGCAGCGCAAATTACAACATTGTCATTTGCAATGCACCACTGCCACTGTCGCTGTATACAGTTCAATACGGGCGACATTGGCAAGGAAATCCGTCGCAATTTTGCTCTTTTCTCCGTCCGTATTTTTCAAAATCTCAGCAGAAGCAAAAGCTTTGGACCATTTTGTGTCTGTAAATTCTTTCAAAACGACATCATCCACAGTCGGGAAGTGAATAAAACACCTCTTTATCTCTGTATCGGTGACGAAACTTCATCGGTGTCATTCTCCATTATGGTTGTTAGATGTTTTTAAGTAGCGAACGAGGACAATGACGTAGGGAAAATCCCGCCTCGTGATTGGTTGAATTGGACACACCTCCGATTTCCCGGGATATTACCCACGATTATTAGGAGGAAACATAATTATTATCTTTAATTAGTTTTCACGAAAAACCGTAAAGAAAATGAGGAGAACAAACGGTAAATATGTTTGTAATAATTTTCTTTATATTTTCATACTGGTTTGGTCGACTGCCACTGATGGGACTACGAAACAACACAATACAGTGACTTGCCCTACAGTCTATATGAAGGGTGACCAAAGTTCGCGGACATTTTAGAATATATTACAAAATGTGATATTGGATCTATGATTTCTCATATTCTACTCAAATTTATTTAATTCAATTATTACCAAATAGACGGCAAAGTTTTTTTTTTACTACAAATGCTTCAACTAGAAAATTTATCGTTGAAGGATTTCGGAGATATCGCAATCTTATCTAAAAATTTGATGTCCGATCGTGCGTGCGCGCTGCATCTAAAAAACGAGACCTAACTTCACGTACGGGGGTTCACAGCTGATTTATACAAAAATACAATCCATCAAAAATAAAGTAATTTCATAATTTACAAGGCAAGATATCATACAATTAGTCTGTACCACTTATTACTTAAAATTTTGAGGATATCTGCTCTCAAAATGAAGATTTCCAGACCCTTATCGGTCAGTTAGTAATTTTTTTGGAACGGACGCAAATGACCGCAAAATTTGCCAAACTTTTGTCAATATTTCACACCTGATTCCAGAGAAAATTCCCTCTATAGGTAATTTTATGTTCCTCTTTCCATTGGTGATATCAGATTTTTGAAATCTTACCAATTTTTTGAGATGGCGAACTTAGCCGTCATGCGCGCAAACTGTCTAGGCCTATGTCTATGACTAGTAACAGTTAGATCGATCTATGACTATGTTCACACCGCCATACATTCCTGTACGTTTTGCATCAGCAAGATCCTGTTGATCTGATTTGGGATCAATGGGAATGTTGACAAATGTCAGTTTATTAAAGAATGACCCATACCATACCAGACGGTTATTGCTGTCTAGATCTAGGTCATGTATTGAATTCGAGAGTACGCTCATGCATACAATATTCAATGATGCATGCAGCTGTGTTGTCCTCAACGTGCCCGAACCTTGGGGAAGATTTCAGCGGCTCACCGAAGAAGCATTCCCCGAGAGTCACAATGCAAGCAACACACAAACATCTTCTCTCTCTCTGTTTCTTACAACAGATTGGTAAGGGTTATCACAGTTAGCCAAAATAATAATGGCATTAATGGTTACATAAATTGTACAAAATAAATAAATGGCTTACAATTTTATTTCCTTGCTAGGATATTCTCCTTTCGTCTTTGGCCGTACGTACGTCAGCAGAATTTAGCATCTCGATTGACTCATCATAGAAGTCTACTCTACTAGCGATTTCAGAACTCACAGAGAGGTTTTGTGTGTCGATTGTATATTGTCCGGTTTTGCACGTAGAGGGATATCATAAAATGGATCAAAAATAGTATTGACCCATAGAGATCTCTATGTATTGACCACATCAACTCGGCTTCAAACAAAATCAGTAAATGCAGGGAGCGGCTAAACTTCCACCACACATTTATTGGGGAAAAAAGTTGACAACAAAACAACAACAAATATATGTTTATATAGTATCATCGTCATAAATAGGACATCAATCACTTCATGCATGTATCTTATGGCACACGAAGAAATATAATAATAATAATAATGATAAGAAGAAGAAGAAGAAGAAGAAGAAGAAGAAGAAGAAGAAGAAGAAGAAGAAGAAGAAAAAGAAAAAGAAAAAAAGAAGAAGAAGAAGAAGAAGAAGAAGAAGAAGAAGAAGAAGAAGAAGAAGAAAAGAGTAGGAGGAAAAGGAGAAGAAGAAGAAGAAGAAGACGACGACGATAGCAAAGGAGTGAGAGGAGGAGGAGGAGAAGAAGAAGAAAGACGAAAAGAAGACGAAATAGAAGAATATAAGAAGAAGAAGAAGAAGAAGAAGAAGAAGAAGACGACGACGATGGCGAAGGAGTGAGAGGAGGAGGAGGAGAAGACGAAGAAGAAGAAGAAGAAGAAGAAGAAGAACTTAAAGAAGAAGAAGAAGACGACGATGGCGAAGGAGTGAGAGAAGGAGGAGAAGAAGAAGAAAGACGAAAAGAAGACGAAATAGAAGAATATAAGAAGAAGAAGAAGAAGAAGAAGAAGAAGAAGAAGAAGACGACAATGGCGAAGGAGTGAGAGGAGGAGGAGAAGAAGAAGAAGAAGAAGAAGAAGAAGAAGAAGACGACGACGATGGCGAAGGAGTGAGAGAAGGAGGAGAAGAAGAAGAAAGACGAAAAGAAGACGAAATAGAAGAATATAAGAAGAAGAAGAAGAAGAAGAAGAAGAAGAAGAAGACGACGACGATGGCGAAGGAGTGAGAGGAGGAGGAGGAGAAGACGAAGAAGAAGAAGAAGAAGAAGAAGAAGAAGAAGAAGAAGAAGAAGAAGAAGAAAAATGTTGGTGCTGAAACGATGGTATGGTCTATACTATTTTCGATCCATATTCTATTCTCCCTCTACGTACAAAATATGGATAATCAACTCACAAAACTATTGCTGTATGTATAGTGCAAGTTATTAATTTGTTTTCATAAATACCCTAGTATTACTTAAAACGAAATTGATATGTATTTGTCTTTTTTTATTCTTATTTTCTTGTATTTGCATTGATTGAACTATTTAAAGTCTGTGTCATTGTGTGTTTGTTTCTTTCTTTCTTTGTGTGTTGTTGTTGTGTTTTGGTGTGATTTGATTATGTAAACTACATTGTGACTATTGCAATTCAGTCTCTGGAGTAAGAAAATGGAAGAAACATAATTATATTCAATAGAACACTCCAATCGGCAATCAAGAAGAAGAAAAGGGGTAGGCGAAAAGCCCGCTACTTTGTAATCATTTTTCCTTTCTCTGTCCGAATTCTCTCTCTCTCTCTCTCTCTCTCTCTCTCTTTCATTCTCTCTCTCTCTCTCTCTCTCTCTCTTCACTTTCCCCTTTTTTCTCTCTTCCTCTTACTCTCCCACTCTCTTTTTCTCCTCCTCATTCTCTCTCTCTCTCTCTCTCTCTCTCTTTCTCTCTCTCTCCGTTGTCGTGCCACCTTGTCCCCATTGCCTATACCCCACCGTTTATGATTCAATTTATCGACCTGCCAAATGGGTCAGATAAAAACTGAAAGTACAAGAGTCCATTAACGAAGGTTTAGTTGTGATGCTTCTTTGTATACGACATGGTTAATTGATGATAATGTTCTGAATTCAATCAAAACGAAAGAAAATAAAATATATCCTCATTGTGTAGAACTAAAGACGGTGATGCTAAAAACTATTCACATATTAAATACGGTACTACTTCCTTTTCGCACGGAAATTATATTGCTATGCACTGCTAATTTTGTATGTCATGAACATTTTCAAACTACATTTCTACCGGGGATAAACGATCAAGAAAATACGATTTACTAAGTAAGAGGGAAACGGAAAGTTCCTTTCATGAAACTTTTACATGTTATCTGGGGGTTTCATCTTTTTTCCGAACGCAAATTTCTTGGATGATCGTTGCTGTTGGCAACTGGATTTAAAGGTACGGATGCTGCACTGACACCTGACATTGATATCGACTTTTACATCAGAAACTACAACAGAAGTGACAATAATCACTGAAGAAACAACTGATGATATTAAAAGGAAAGTAACGCAATTGGAGTAAAATCCATCCACTGGCAGTAAAGTCGTAAAGTCGTAAGGACAGAATCATCTTCGTTCCACAGCAGGCTGGCAAGGAGAATGGGTACACACGTTGAAACCACGGCTTCTCAGAATCCTTTAGAAATTCACTTGTTACCGACAGTTTCCGTCATTAATGTCTCTAAACCTCACCAATCCACAGTGTCTCCATCGGTCGGATCAGGGGCAAAGACCACAATAATCACTCTCGGGACACTGTTTTTGGTCTCTAGTTTGGTGATCATCTACATGTGCTACTCTCGTCGTAACCGTCACCGTCGCAACCACTCATCGTCCATGATATTCATCCATCATGTCGATGACCACCTCGATACAATGTCGATGCGCTCGGACAAGGAGAGAACGCTCATGATGGACAATGAACGACGTCCGTCGCTTCGTAATCCACTAGCGGTTGCGATGTCGGCGATCACGCCTGATCTGATGAAAGAAAACACCAGCAGGCCAAAAGTCTTGGGGGAAAATGACGGATGTGGACAAACGTTCAATCACAGCTTCAAAGATCGTAGGCTGTCCAGGTCTTTGGAGACAATCTGCAAAGAAACCGATGGAGGATTCTGGATTGACTGTCATCTCTCAGAAGAGGATATTCGTATCAATCTCAAGAAGACGCGGGGAAGCCAAAGTCAAAGGCATTATGATCCAAGGTATTCAGGCCGATACCCGATGGGAAGCAACAATCTATGGAACAATCCACTGTGTCGCTCTTCACCATCTTTATCGAAACAACCCGCTCCTCAGGTCTCGAACCAGAACTATGAAGACATGACCAGTCCACATCATGAAAGCTCCGCAATCTCTAACACCTACAGTTTTCCTTGCAAATCGGATGATGGCAAACCTCGGGAGTGGCCCACGGAGAAGAATCTGTCCCGCGAGCGACGGGAAGAGCCACAGAGACATCTTCCTATAAACCTCGACGTAAGTCAAGAGGGGGAAGAGATTGAAACCCCTCTAAGCACAGTGAACACAAAAGAGGGGGTTCCTACAAGCTCACTTTCACCAGGTCTTCAACAAGAGGACAATCCCGATAGGGGAACTATTGTCCCTGATATGGGATCCCGACCCCTTCCGCCGATACCTCAGCAGGAGACAGCAAGAGAGACGCCTCCTCCGCAAGACCATCGCTACCAGCGGAGAGGTGCTTCAATGCCTTCCCGAGACGCCGGTTCAGTGCGGTCCATCGTTTCGGAGAGACGTGTCAGATTTGAAGAAGGGTTTTGACATTTTTACTAATATGGGAGGGCCGGGCCGGCCGGCACATCAGTTTGATGATATTGTTACACAGCTGTAAATCTTTATTTGAGCCATAAACCTATGTACTATTAGATTTATACACACATATTGGTTTCGCCCCCCGGTGAAAACGCTGGTAATACTGTTAAACATGTTGATACCTCGGTCACAAACAGTGACTCCAGAACGACTAAAAACCGACAGAATCTTTGCCATTGTTTGCTGTTAGTTCTGTCTGTTGTCGACCTGTTTTCGGTCTCGTGAGTAGGCTACTTATGCCAATATTTTCGTTTCAGACTCGCCAAAGTTACTGAGGTATGATCTTGCATGGAGTCGTATTATAGGCCTAGTTCTCAAAGCCAGATTTTGTGAACTCGTTTGATGGAGGGAAAGGCTATATACAGGCTTTCCGACTTCAGAATTATTGTTTTTGCTTCACTGTCCCGTCGTCTCTTTTCCATCTTAACTTTCTCAAGTTGTTGAAAAATCCAAATTCATACAGGAAAACATATACAGGAAACAAAGAAACGCTTGGTTTAATTCAATCATGTTTACATTTGTTTCTATTTCATTTTTATTTTAATAACGAGATTTTACGGAAACATAATCACAGTAGAGGCATTCAGGTCTAACATTTGTGATACCTATATTTCATTCCTGATAAGTTTTTAACCAATGCAATGAGTAAACGACAAACACGTTTTTCGTGAAGGATGATTATTTATTCATTGAAACTGGAATGTTAAAAAGTCATGCGATACCAACGAACGACATATTAAAAGTAATTGCTCGTAAATCAGTCAAACAGGAAGTTCACATTCACCAAATTTGATAGCTTTCACATTAATATTAAAGGGATAGTTGAGTTCTGTTGCAGAGGGCGCTACACAAAATAATTTTTTGTGAGATTATGAAAAACTGAGTGCCAAATTTGAAAGAACATATACAATTTAAATGTCAAAATCATCTTTGTTCATCAAAATCGGTTCAGAGACGGCTGAAATATCCATAAATATAACGATTTCTAATATTTGTGTACCACCACAAAATTAATATTCGATAATTTGCAAATGCCGTTGAAAAAACGGATTGCGCCTTTTACGTTGTATTTCAGCCAATACCGATGTTGACTTTTTTAAGCCCAACCAGCCGCCCATATATTGTTATTAATTAATTAATTAATAAACGGTCACCGTATTTTTTGGAAAGTGGAGCTGAATTGGTATGATTGCATTGGCTAAATTTCACACATTTTGGGGTCTAAAATTATCTTCATAGCAATTTTAGGTCCTCAAAGGGCACTAGAAATGTCATAGATAAGAATAAGAGCAATAACCATGCACTTTGAAGGCAATTGCGGTCTAAAAAGAGAACTCAACTATCCCTTTAAAAACAGACACAGTAGTAAATTATTGTTTAATTATTAAACAGTTTGTAATGAAATAATTAATCTATACACAGCACTATGATGGCTACATTCGAGTTGTAAATTGCTAACATTGTAAACATTGCAGACCATAAATAGTGTTGAAAATCTGTTAATCAGCAACTCTAACAGATAGGATATTTCAGAAGGTCTTACGTGAGAAGGCGTCACCATTAATTATGATTAATAATCTCTTTAGCATTGAATGAGAAAATAAACTTCTTGACAAATCGACGTTTACATGACTTGTTTAAGCTGATTCTTCTTGTCAGGTATTTTCGATTAACCGCAGACCGCAGGGAGAGAGTTGAGGAGAGAGAGTGAGAAAGGGAAGGAGAGAGAGAGAGAGAAAGAGAGAGAGCGCTTGAGAGAGAAAGAGAGAGAAAAGGAAGGAGAGAGAGAGAGAGAGCGCTTGAGAGAGAAAGAGAGAGGGAGAGAGAGAGAGAGAGAGAGGGAGAGAGAGAGAACGTGAACAGAAGAATGATACGACCCCTCCGACCCCTAAAAAATGGCTGGAACCATGCTACTTCTCAAAATTGCAACTTTAGAAAATCGCTGTAATGATTATGATCGATTGTTCAATTGTGATTATAAGTACATAATATTCATCCACGTGTGATTTTTGGATACTATAAACCAACTTTTGATAATTCACAGATGCATGCATACAGAGCTGCCAACGCCAACTGAACAAAAATCCTATTCTTTTCCCCAAATAATCTTATTTTTGATCGATAAGTACTTTCTCACCACGAACATACATTTTCGGTTGGGGGGGGGGGGGGGGGTGTTACCAATTTGCGTAAGTTCCTACATACAGGAAGACATTTGTTTATGGACCATTGGTTGAATAAGCATGATTTCGTGATGACTAGTGTGTTCCATGATTTTTTGATTTTTTTTTTGGTTCAAAATGGCTTTTGACATATCTGAGAATTTTCCTATTAAAGGTAAAGACCAGTATTGGAAACGCCCCAATTTCAAAAAATGAAATGGAAGCTCTCATTACCACTCATGTGAAAGAATATGTTTTGACTAATACATGATGACAAAAAATTTGCCGGGAAACCGCCTACTAATTCATATATTTGGTAAATTTGTTTCTCTCATGGTCTGTGAGAGATATAGGGTAGTCCCATATACATCTTTCTGTGTATAGTGCTTGTAACTTTACGAAGAATGGGCCAAATTTCTTATCATTTTGATGATTCCAGAACCTTGCTGATGCTAGATGTTAGATGATCGACCTTTTCTGATCGATTCCACAACGTTTCTTTCACAATGCAATCGCATGACCATAACTGGTCTTTACCTTTAAAAAGACATTATAGCGACATACTGTGTTTCCCGAACAGACATCATCATGTTCATACTACTTGAATAAGTTTTGTTTTCGGAAAATGAAATAGACATTATAGTGTTTCTGTGTTTCCAGAAAATTCATATTCATGTCATTCAACTTGAATAAATTTTGTTTTCGGAATATGAATTGATAAATAAATTATTGAGAAATAAGTCATTTTTAGTGTAAATTTCTTTCTATTTGCAAGATAATTTTGTTCTCACAAATAAAATCAAAACACCTAGACATAGTAAACATGAATTTTTACGTTATGAATTTATAAATAATAACTTATTTATAAAAACAATGCGTTTGGAGTGGTTTTCTTGTTTCCATTTGTAAGAGATTTTGCTTGCCTCCCCCTCCTTACGACAGCAAATAACACAAGAAATGATAAACTTTTAAATGTACAGTTCAAAATTTCCAACACAATTCTTTATCACAGTGTAGTTATAACCATGTTCATGTAGTTCTACTGAGCTAATGTGAAGCTAGAACTGTCAATTCTTTCTTAAAGGGGAAGCCCACCCTGATATCAAGTACGTTTTAATAAAAGCAGAAAACTAGAGAAACAAATTAGTGAAATTTTGAGGAAAATTACAAAAGTTACAAACTGTTTTCTTCAATGAAACAAAAATTGGCAACACTGAGACGTATCATGAGAGCGCTTCTGGACTTCCCCTTAAGTGGACCCATCGTAAATCTAGTTTCACTTTCAATTTGTAACTTTAATCATTCACCTTCTCATTTGACAGCAACGATGCTTTAATTAAGCAGCGAGTCCCTTCATAATTTATCACGTTCTATTGCGTTTTGATGAAAGAGTTTAACTTGAAAATATTAAATAAAGACTCCATTATGTCCGGTGACTTATCAGAAGCGAGAAGGGAGTATATGCCTATTACTAATATTTTATTTTTTATCAATTTTAGGATATAGACTCATCTGCAATTGACCTCTTCAAACAATAAAAAAAAAAAAAAACAACGGCAGCAGCAGCAGCAAAATATTCTTACTTATGATCACCTTTAATTCATATTTAACATGTCCCTTTCGTCATTAATTCTATTTCGTTCTTTTGCTATCCCCACCTCCTCATTTTCCCCCTTTCTCTCTCCCTACCCCCTCCCTCTCCCCTATGTCCCTCTTCCTCTCTTTAAATCTCTTTGCCCTTTATCTCTCCCTTTCCTATCCCCCTATCTCTCTCTCCCTCTCCTATCTCTCTCTCTCTCTCCCTCTCTATTTTCATTCTTTCCAGTCATTCCTTTCTCTGTTGAACGCGATGTTATCCATGAAGCAAAAGTCGTTCTCCTCTCCTTCTTCTTCTCTTTCTTCTTTCATTCTTCCTTTTTTCTGTGTGCCGTAAAAGGGATGTGATAGATCTTTCTTTATCTTTATGACATTTGATATGACATTCAAAGGTTAACTATGACAACTTTCTGTTAGGTTTAGAATAATTATGAATCAGTGAATAGGGGCGGCCAAACACGGAATGGAGTGGGTTGGGTCATAAATTATAGGGGGGCTTGGGCGGAATGGCCCCCCCCCCCCAAAAAAAAAAAATAATAATAATAATAAAAAAAATAAAAAAAAAAAAAAAAATAATAATAATAAATAAAATAAAATAAATAAATAACTTCAATCATTATTGATAATAGTCTTTATTAGAATAAATGTATATACAAAATAATTGTACTTTATGTACATGTATAGCTCGTCAACGTCTCTGCATTTTGAGTTTACAATCCTAAATTACAACAGACTAAAGAAAATGTAAATCTGCTTGAGTGATCTACAAATTTTCTCTCAAAGTTCCACTTAAACAGAAAATTATTTTATTTCAGTAAAAAAAGAAAGAAAGAGAAGCTACCTGTAGTTATGCTTGTTTATGAACAGCGATAAAGCATTAGATGAAATTAACGGTGGTAATTACAACTACTTAAAGGGACTTAAGTCATTTCAACGGTCCATCGACTGTATTCAATATGAAAAGTACCAAAAAAACTTGATTTCGAGTAAATAAGTGTTTAAAATCAATGCAAAGAATTAAAGAGAAGCGGCATGTGGATGGGGATAATGTAATGCATATACTATGAAAGTTCCCCTCTATACATTATATCTACATTGTATATTAGATATATTTGTACAAAATAGAGTTCATATATGATTATTCCTTTAAAAAATTACCATTGGCTTTAATACACTACTAAAGTTGATAATCTTTCAGTCAGGGATCATTTTTGCCATATTCAATAACAAATGACTAAAACTATTTCACCTACTTTCATAACCATGACCATTTTTGAAATACTACTTTAAGTACCGGTACTCCACAAAGATAAATTTTTGCAAATACTTATACATGAATGAGCTGTGAAATTGACAGATATCTAAGATTTTTTTTTTAAATCTGAAGACACAATACAAATTGTGTCCTTTTAAAGAACCGCATTGATACAGAAAGTCAAAACTCACTATGAACATGACCACAAAGAAAGCGGACAAAATATACAGTTCCTCAGGTAGACAAAGGAACATCCCTTCACTGCTATTATGTAAAAAGGTGAATATGCATGTGACACCTGTTCTACACATTTTTACATAATAGCAGTGAAGGGATGTTCCTTTGTCTACCTGAGGAACTGTATATTTTGTCCGCTTTTTTTTGTCAGTCATGTTCATAGTGACTGTCACTATCAAAACTTAATTTACATATTTCAAGCTTAGTCAAATTTCTACATCTGTTTCGATACACTACTAGTCACTTAAACGTCACTTAGTAACACATGTCAAAACATATTTTGCGTATTTTATTGGATTTCATACAGAAGCTACCTGATACTTCTAGTACAAAGGAAAGAGCACATAAAAATCACAAACTTGCCTGCATCTGGCGTTATAGAGAATGTTTGACTTTTGGAGAAGTTGAAAAATAATTGTCAGATCTTTTCTATTCTTTTTATATCAGAGATGAAGAGTAAGATAAGAAAAATGTCCACTGAAACAGATGGCTCTTCAATTAACCTCAAGTTCAACAAACGACAAGTAATAGGTAAATGTTGTCGACCACACTTTCATGCCACCTGTTTGTGTAGTCATATATACACATTTCTATGTACAGGGCATGTGAATTTTATCAAGACTGGGCCAATTTCTTATAGTTTTTACAATTCCAGAACCTCACAATGTAAACAAGTGACCAGAACTCAACATCACCTTAATTTAAAAGAGACACAAAGATCTATAATTTAACTTACATGCACCATGCCTTTGAAGAGACCAAACATCCCTATTTCTGGAGGATGAAATTGTAACTATATTATATTTTCACTGTTGACCATTGTTTGTCGTTTCTCAAATGTTGACAGTTTGAATCTTAGCTTTCTTGAAAAACATCTTTAAATGCTAATGGTTTGAGAAACCTTGGAATGAATTATCATAAGTTGCGTGTAATATTATAAGATATTGTTCTACTATCCTCAGCTATCGCCCGTATAAAACTACTCTCTGTATATTTACATCTAAAAGGTTGTACTGCTATGAGCCTTGAGCTGCTTTTTCTAGGCTTTTTGTTGCATCCTTCAGTTTTCCAACTAGGTCCTGCAAGATAAAAACACAATCATTTGTTTTATTAATTACAATCTAATTTGGCAAAATTGACTGAATAGCAGATAAGGATTTTCTTGTCTAGGTTTTTTGGCTACTGAAGAGATATTTTGAAAAATTTATTCTACATGTAATTTATGTATGCCATAAATATGAATTTCATAAATTCATTTACATGAAAAGGAGAACAATGAGTTTCATTAATATGAACAATAATTTGAAAAATGTATTCTTGTATAAATTCATGCCTGTTCATTTAGTCAAGACTACAATATTACTGCAATTGTTATTTAGACCATTGTTCCAGTCTGAGGTTCTGTTAAAGCCAATCTGTACTAGTGTGGCCAGGAGAGATTAGACCTCCCTGCATGGTCACTGACAGGTGGTTAATATCTCATCAAATCAGCTCTCAATTAACATAAGAACAAGGGGACCAAGGGGGACCAGCCGTTACCATTGTTTGCTATAAAGAGGGCGCAAGTGGCTATGAGTAGTGCAGTCCTGCTTTAAGTCCTAAATACATTTAAATACTAGGTAAACTGCTATTTGTGATATTATCATCACCATAATCATTATCCTAATCATCTTCACCAACACCACTATCAGCATCATCATTACCATCCTCATGCACTACCATCATTAACCATCATTACTCATTCATAATTATCATCATCACGTTCATCATCATCATCACTTTAATCATCATAACCTTTATCATCATCAACAAAATCACCTTCATCACTATCATCATCATCATCATTTCCACCACCATCACCACCAAAACCAACATTATCATTAACCTCATCATCATAATCATGATCATCATTACCATCCTCATCATCACTTGCATTTTCATCATCATCACCATCATCATCATCATCATCATCATCATCATCATCATCATCATCATCATCACCACCACCCTCCTCCTCCTCCTCCTTTTTTAAATTATCATCATAATCATCATCAGTGTCACCACCACCACCAACACCACCACCATCATCATCAGTTGAAACAAAACTCAACTCACCTGTAACTGTTCAAGCGAACAGCTAAACTGTATATCTTTGGCACCTCGATGACCCTGCTCTGTCTTGAGGTTTATCAGATAGGTCGGCTGATTGATCTTATCGATGTGCTTGTTCTGAGAATAAGACCCAAGAAAGGACAGTAACAATCTTCTTTTCTTACTACATAAAAACTGCCTACTTGATGATTGAGTGACAGCAATTTGTGATAATCAACATGATTCAAAGATAGAATTAATTATCAAATTCTAAGAAATCTTTTGGAGTGCATGTGCTTCGTTATCCAAATTATTATGGAGAACAGAAATATAATCGATTAGTAAATGCTTTTGAGTGCAATACTCCTATCATATAATGAAAAACATTTTGCCTGTACGATCTAATATGAAATCTTGAGCACTTTGAGATACAAATAATTTAACCCCTTACATTTCTACTCAGAAATTTCAAATAATTGAAAGTTTTTCCCAGAAATCAGATCATGCATTTTTCCTGCTCTTTTCCGCCCTAACTTCACTCACATGCAGTTATGAAACTCAAGAAAGATCTTGATCAATTTTGTCATGCTAAACTTATCATCTGTAGGGGAACATATCCAGTTACTGCCTTTGAAAAATCATGCAACTTGTTGTTTATTGTTTTGATAATGGTAGGGCTACATGGCTAAGTTCAAGCATCGATAACTTTTTCATAAATATTAATTTCCGCAAGAAATTTGCTCAGGTAATTCTTTCTGACTGTTCTGAATAGGAACTTAATGATTTTTAAATAATGATGCACACCTAAATAAGCACAATGCTCACTGCTGCATAGTGACATCCTATGTGTATCTCTGTTCATTGCACGATCGACAGCTAGTGTACCATATTTTATGCACATGTTCCTTGCAGTGTGTATGCTGTCATAGGCAAGATAGTTGCACGCCTTCATTGCGCACCAGAGAAACTTGGGTGATGGAAGACAGCCCTTGTGTCTAATAAGCCACTTGGCTCAGTGGAGAGGTAACTGGACAGGCTACGGTATACATATGGAAGCTAGCAAGATGAAACTAGGCTGACACTAGCTCACAGCTCTGTGAATGCACACAGATGGTCAATAATGGCATTTATAATACTTGCTGTCGTGAGAAAAGTGAGAACGATTCATTCACAATTCTCTCTTTGAGTTGTGCTCTTGATAGGAGTCAAAGTTGAATGGCTGGATCATTTGACTTGGGATGCAAAGGTCATGGGCCTAATTCACGACACAAAACTAGCCCATGTCCTTGAATAATGCATTTTGTTTACATTACCCCAAACCCAGCATTATATCTTAAACAAAACAAAACTCAAATCTATTGTCACTGGAGAAAGCGTTAGAGCATCCAATACTGTACATACCTTTAGATAGAAGTCTAACCGCCAATCCACATCAACGATATGAGGAGGAGTGTGACCGATGTTGCTCAGCATGGATCTTATCTCTTGCTTCTTCTCCTGGAAATGCTTGAGGAAGGCATCGATCCTATCCTGACTGAACTTATTGTCTTCTAAGATGGAGCTAACAATTCAATGTGGAAAATGAGGTTTAAACTAGATGGAATTTTAACTGCGCGCAGTCGAAAATGATGCCTCCGCCATAGAGCAATTTAAACAAGTTTGGAGTTTAAATCTCCAGTGGTTCTTGAGATATCATGATAACAATCTCAATGTATGGAATTTCATAAGTTGACCTCTGTGACCCTTGACCTTTGACCTACGTGCTCCAAAATCTAATCAGATTGTCTTCCTATGGTGATACACACTATCATTAAGTTTGAAGTTTAAATCTCCAGTGGTTCTTGAGATATTATGATAACAATCTCAATGTATGGAATTTCATAAGTTGACCTCTGTGACCCTTGACCTTTGACCTACGTGCTCCAAAATCTAATCAGATCGTCTTCCTATCGTGATACATACTATCCTAAAGTTTGAAGTTTTTACATCTCCAGTGGTTCTTGAGATATCATGATAACAATCTCAATGCATGGAATTTCATAAGTTGACCTCTATGACCCTTGACCTTTGACCTACGTGCACCAAAATGTAATCAGATTGTTTTCCTATAGTGATACACACTATCACTAAGTTTGAAGTTTAAATCTCCAGTGGTTCTTGAGATATCATGATAACAATCTCAATGTATGGAATTTCATAAGTTGACCTCTGTGACCCTTGACCTTTGACATACGTGCTCCAAAATCTAATCAGATCGTCTTCCTATGGTGATACATACTATCCTTAAGTTTGAAGTTTAAATCTCAAATGGTTCTTGAGATATCGCGCTAACAAACTCAATACAAGGAATTTCATAAGTTGACCTCTGTGACCTGTGACCTTTGACCTACGTACTCCAAAATCTAATCAGATCGTCTTCCTATGGTGATAAATGCTATTCCCGAGTCTTAAGTTTAAATCTTAAATGGTTCTTGAGATATTGTGATAACGGTCAAACGGGACGGACGTACGGACGGACGTACGGACGGACAACCTGAAAACATGATGCCTCCGGCACCACCTTCGGTGGCGGAGGCATAAAAATATATTTTATTGAGAACTGTATTGATACATATGAGTGCAAGTACAACCGCCTGGTTCCATTGCATTTGTACATGTAGGTCCTATTCGAAAGTATTTGATAATATAAAATTGCAATACCATTCTTTCCTGGAGATCTAGAGTAAAGTCCCATAAAGTACACATGTAAGTCTATGAACACCAGGAATGTCTACACTTTGGGGAAATGGGATTTCGAGTTACATGTAAATCTTGAGAAAAGTGAGCATCAGGAACCCTGAGACTAGAATACAATTTGATAAACTTCAATTGTGCAAAAAGTGCACTATTTATGATTTCTAATTTCGATTCTGTTATTTTCTGTATAAGCACAATTTATAATAACTGTAACAAACATCTGATTCTACATGTGTACATAATAATTCAAAGAAGAAATATGCCATGACACCTTCAATAAGAGAAAACTGTGGAGTTAATACTTCTAAAGATAGTTTGACACCCTTGAATGATGTTGGTTTGGCGAAGGGAGGAGGGAGTGAAAGAAAGGGAAAGAGCCTCCTCCCCACTCCTCTCAGTCACTTTGCTTCCTTGCATTTCATCAACTTGATCACTGTGATGAGACTTGTGCACTCTCCCCCCCCCCCCCAAAAAAAAAGGGGGGGGGGAGGGGAATAATAACTTTCACTGAATAGACGAATAGTACACCTGCAATCATTTTTACCCACCTGATGGAACTGTTGTCTGCATCATGTTTAGCTGCTTCTAACACCAGTGTATACAGGGAGGCATAGCTTTCCTTCAAGACTGCTGGTTCGATAGCTGACACTGCTCCATCTAAAATGAATGACAATTTGCTATTCTGATAATTAAAAAAAAATAATGAGACATGTTTTTTGTAACTATATTAATATTAATGTGGTGGGCCAGTAAATGAGTTGAAGATGACAAGTTCAAACATAAATGAAACACAGGAAGCTCGGAATTACAGTTGAAGTCCACTTTATTAAATATATATATCAGCCGAAGCTTCAATCGTTGCAAACGACGAGTATTATTATTATTTGAACATGGTAAATAAACTGCTTCTCTCAGAGGCTGGGCGGCCCTATTGATTGAAATTAGCAGCACATCCTAAACATGATAACGGAATGAAATAAACTCTCAAATAATATCTACTTTCAAATAATATCAACTAAAAAACTCCCTTCAAAATCCCGCACCTCGCATTTAAATACCGCGGCACCCGATGAGGCTTAGATATTACATGATATTGCCAGCCAACCAGGAGGGCTCTTACGAAGCCAACCAATTGCAAAACGGGATATATCCAATTACCCTTTAGGTCATCCGACCAATTAATTGAGGAGTTATATCTTTAATTAATTATAACCAATGACAAAGCATAATAGATGAGTGTTATCTGATCTAGTCACCGACAGAAATGGGAGGAGTCTATCTCTTCGCGAGAATGTCGCGTCCCCGGCAAAACAGTCTATTGTCTAACTTGTTATTGGAAATGAACACCTGTACATCTTGACGCAGGAATTCATTCCCAACGTGTTTTTCGAAATGAACACTTTAATCTAATGCAAGAATTCAAACCCAGGGGTTGTTTACCCGTTCCCGGCATACTATTGGAAACATAATTAATGTTCTTTAACTTTTAGGTGAATACAATTAATCAACCCAGCTCGGCTCTTATATGGCTCTAGTGCCCCCTTTAGCTCAAATGAGCGTACTACTACAAATCTCCCCTACTAAAACGATCTTGCACCTGCAGATCGTACAAAATTAAGAAAAAATATTAGATTACCAACTGGGAATCATTTAATCAAGCAATACATATTTGTGTTGCTTTAAAGCATAATTTTGTCAATATACTATCAATACAGCATATTTGGGCTGCATTAACCAACACTTTGACTTACGAATGTACTTTAACAAATTACAGTTAACATTCTCCTTGCAATGTCAAACACTCATTACCCAGGCATAATCACATTATACAACAATATCTAAATTTATTTATTTTACAACCAATTAACCAGAAAGACCCACGAATGCAATGTCCTGCCCACCATGTATAACCAACCAACAGAATATAATGTCAGGATGACGTCATGCCCTTCCTCTTCTTTGGAGCTGGATAACCCTAGACCCCCAAATCAAAGCCAGGCATAAACATCATCCCTTGATTTTAACTGCTCCCAAACATGGAAGGGTATAACCACTAAAATGACAACACAATGACATCCTGCAAAGTCAACTGGTATTGTAATAATAAATATACACAACCTGTTAAATAAACCACATTACAAACAACTTACATGCATATATTCCTTAATTCCATTCTTTCCTTAAACCCCCATGAGAAAGAGAAAAATTTCAACTGAGCAATCAACATCTTCACCATGAGAACCAAACATCTCACTGGAAGCAAGACTAAACATGCCTTATTATATACATACAATTAACACCCTTTCTCATAAACCTGTATAATTATGTATCATAATAATCTCAACATTCCCAGTCTCAGCAACAACCAACGGTCTATAATTATCTCATGGAATCTACTTCTAACTAACATTATAAAACTCAGACAAATCTATTTTGTCACATATGTATTAGTTAATTTCTACTAAAATTTGTAGACTCCAACTGTTTAATTTTATCTTTTTGTTTATATACAGTTACCAAACAAACATTATTAAGTACCAACTTGGTACAGGATGGCTTCTTTAAAAAAACATTAAATCACCTGTTATAACAATAATTTTGTACCTCGCAAATATATGAATAATATCAGGAAAAAAACATCATACAGGACAACTAATGGAGCTGGATATCCCAGACCTCCACAACGTACTCCGTATGATGTCACCTTCCATCTTTACAATATAAAATGCGTGTAAAGAAACCTATAACAAGTTAAAGCACCAAAATATTTGCATTCATAAATTTCGATACATTGAAATAATGCAGAATTCAGCAAAACATCATACCCAGATATCATTCCCACTATACCAACATTATGATACGGGATCGTATCATATCAAACGCCCTCCCCAAAACAATCAACCCTCAATTCACCCTAACCGCTAGTTTAGCATTTTGTAAATTTTGATACATTGAAATAATGCAGAATTCAGCAAAATATCATACCAAGATATCATGCCCACTATATACCAACATTATGAGACAGGATCGTATCATATCAGAGGATAACGCCCCTCTCCAAAACATTCAACCCTGAATTCATCCTAACTCCTAGTTAAGCATTTTATAAATAAGCTAACGAATCGTTATCAGTAAATATAACAAACGGGGCTCCAAATAAGTGATCTCTAAATTATCCATTACTGTCCATTTTAACAATCATTTAACTCTCATTAACATGAACCCAAATCTGGTTTTTTTTCTTCTGTATTTTGCAATGGTCTATTAGCATATGTTAAATGATGAGGCCTTCCATCCTCCCCTACTTGTGATAGGCAAGGCCCTAAACCTTTTAGGGAATTGTATCAATTACTAAAAACAAAATTATTTGAATAATCTGGATAACTGGTGCCTGAATCAACTTCTTTGAGCAAATTAAATGAATCATTCGTTAGAATAATCCACTCAAGCTTAAATAGTTTTCCTTTTTTTTCTTTCGTTTTACTAAATGGAGAATTAGTTGAACTGAATCAACGGTGCAGCTAACTTAGCAAATTGATAAACAAAACATCTTTAATATATACATATAATCCCAAGAAGCGCCCAGCCTCTATGAATTTGAATGTTAGCAAACATTTTTAAAACAATTATACTTTATCACAGAATAATCAATGTCTTTATAATCGCAAACGATAATTAAAATACCAAACTTTTCCTCCAATATGACCTAAACAACTCCCTTCCTATCCTAAGGAGTTCGAAATGCACTCACAAGGAGTATTGGCTAACAAAACAGTAGCCTTGGGACTTCACTTTTCTTTATCAATTTACTTAAAATATCTACTTCATTTTCTTCCAAATTATTCCCCCTTTACCTGACCCCTGGTAGTGGAGAACCACCCTTTCCCTTCCATCGGTAACCTCTTTCCTCTACTTTTGCTGAACAGGATCTAACAAAATGACCAAACCCCCCACAACGCCAGCAAGCACCCTTGCTTGATTGAGATTGAGATGTGTTATTTGAAACGTAATTGGGTGGAGATCGGGAAGTGGAGGAACTCTGACGCAATAATTGTAGTGGAGGACGACCGTTTCCCTGCCACTTGTAACCTCTTTCCTGTATTCTTAATGGACAGAATCTAACGAAATGACCAAAAATACCACAACACCAGCAAGGACTCCTAATTACTTGAGATGTGTTATCCTGAGGATGATTAGATGGAGATCGGGGAGTGAATATATTCAGACGCAACATTTGCTCTAAAATTTGTTTTTGTTTTTCCATTTCACTCATTATGATACTGATCAATATTAAGTGCTTATATTATACTAATTTAGATTAAACGTAGGTTTAAGTTTAAATAATCTATCCTATGCTTACATTAATGCTAGCCAAAATTTGAAGAGCAAACGGGTACAAATAATTTCACCAACACACAATAGTCGAACACTTAAACATTACTACAATATCTTTAAAGAATCTAGGACAAAAATCCAAAAATATCCAAAATTCAACGGACGTTTCAATTTATCAGTTCAGTTTAGTTCAGTTCTCACTGTCCAATTCTCGACTTTCAAAACATACCTCAGCTCAGCTTAATGTCTCCTTAATTAGCTCAGCTTGTCTCCTTATCTCAACTTGTCTCCCGCCGAAGGTTGCTCCCTACGAACTTGGCGTTGCAGACCAAAAAACCCAAGTTCAGCTGACAATCGAAGAATCATAAACATAAGGAACCTCCTTCAATTGCGTCCACGCTACTAGCAGGGTTGAGTATCGTGACGAGGCATCGGCGTTACTTTCCTCCCCCGAGAGCTTCCCGATACGCGTTCTTCGGGTGCCAGGCCAGCTGACAAACCAGCTCCGGAGAATTCAGCCAGACCTTGAGTAACTCCTGTACGGGGAACCTCCTAAAGGTAATACGATTCAGATCGCCCAAGTAGATATGGTGTGCAAAAATTTCCACGAGGGGCAGTCGACTAAACAATTTTTCGTTAGCACATACCAAACGTTCAATTTCGCGGCATTTTCTCCCGTCGCGGACGTGTTGGTAACAGGTAAGAGGGGGGTCTCGGGAAACTTCTCTCTCCGTGGTGATCCTAATCACATTCACCGGGAAGAATGTGCAATGTGTTCCAAGAAGGCCTCCAATTGCCCGTTGGCCCTTTTCGTACTGGACTACTCCGCTGAGCCACAAAAAAAACATGCCTTCAATAAACGCCACGATAATCTGTCGCTAACTCCACCGGTGAGAAACAGTTCAGCAGCAGCAACTAAAATACTTCTGTGTTCCGAGCAAATGATATCGAGTTCGAGTGGTGGGTCGGCACGACGAACCAGCGGTAACCGCTAGCAAGCCAACGGCAAACTTCGCCGTTAACTAAAGAAAGTTGCATTACCCCATCCGTACTACCAAATGTGGTGGGCCAGTAAATGAGTTGAAGATGACAAGTTCAAACATAAATGAAACACAGGAAGCTCGGAATTACAGTTGAAGTCCACTTTATTAAATATATATATCAGCCGAAGCTTCAATCGTTGCAAACGACGAGTATTATTATTATTTGAACATGGTAAATAAACTGCTTCTCTCAGAGGCTGGGCGGCCCTATTGATTGAAATTAGCAGCACATCCTAAACATGATAACGGAATGAAATAAACTCTCAAATAATATCTACTTTCAAATAATATCAACTAAAAAACTCCCTTCAAAATCCCGCACCTCGCATTTAAATACCGCGGCACCCGATGAGGCTTAGATATTACATGATATTGCCAGCCAACCAGGAGGGCTCTTACGAAGCCAACCAATTGCAAAACGGGATATATCCAATTACCCTTTAGGTCATCCGACCAATTAATTGAGGAGTTATATCTTTAATTAATTATAACCAATGACAAAGCATAATAGATGAGTGTTATCTGATCTAGTCACCGACAGAAATGGGAGGAGTCTATCTCTTCGCGAGAATGTCGCGTCCCCGGCAAAACAGTCTATTGTCTAACTTGTTATTGGAAATGAACACCTGTACATCTTGACGCAGGAATTCATTCCCAACGTGTTTTTCGAAATGAACACTTTAATCTAATGCAAGAATTCAAACCCAGGGGTTGTTTACCCGTTCCCGGCATACTATTGGAAACATAATTAATGTTCTTTAACTTTTAGGTGAATACAATTAATCAACCCAGCTCGGCTCTTATATGGCTCTAGTGCCCCCTTTAGCCCAAATGAGCGTACTACTACATTAAGCACATACGGTATTCATCCCAGGGGATGCTCAAGGTGCATTACTAAGTACTATCATTACCTTGTCTTTAGTCCAGCTGCCATAATGTGCTTTAACTTGGAGCATTCAAGGAATAATTTTGTCTAGGTACAATTTACACTGTATTGGACTTGGATGGAGTGGTAAATACATGTACATTACCGATAATATCGTTTTAAATACAAATAAAAACTAGTAAGAAATGTGAAAAACTTCTCAATCAGAGCCTAAGTATTAAATTGCACAAGAGCAAAACAGATGATGTTATGGTAATAACGATAATGATGATGATAATGTTAAAATTACTAAAAGCATAGGATCTCATTAATATTAATAAGAGGAGGATGAGGAGTAACACAAGCACGTAGAAATTTACGTACTGAGCGCTGTACTTTGAGCTAATGATTGGCTGATTTGCTCGAGCGGTTTTGACTTCAAGTTAGAGAGGGCTCACTTATGGTTATGCAAGGAGCGCAATGGTGTTGACCATACAAAATCATCATTTTTAATTTGGAGCATCGCATTCAAAACTACAAAAGTAAGTAGACCCTACTACAGTACAACAATAATTTCCATTTTCTCCCATTTGTTTTGTTCAAGTGTGTACAAAATTGATGCCTCTCAGCACGTATACAGCGCTAGAGGTCAATACGTGTTAGCATTGACTACTGCTTTGCTAGAGTGCTTTTTCTCTTGACTTTAATAAACTTTATTTCTTCACCTCTCCATTTATTTCTGCCCACTCTTTTCATCTATTCTTACCTCCTTAATGTTAGACCTCCTCCTCCTCATGTTCATCATTACTATCATCACCATTATCATCTTCTTATTATATTTTTTTCATCATTCATCATTTTTAATTTTATCCACATTGCATCGCGCATCGCGTCGTGTTCATGATTCTTCTTACGTCATCGTTATCCAGCATAGATTTCAACGTATGGGACTTGTAATTGTATATCAAAATAATGACCTAGACTCACCACCATCTTCATTACTACCAGGTTCCGACACGTCTGAGAATATTTTCTGCAATAATGGCTCAAAGGCTTTATCTTGTACTCTAGCAGAGCTCCCAGCCAACTGCAAACCTTCTTGAATCTCTGCAGAAATTTCCATTTTAGAGCTTGAACTGCAAAAAAACGCCTACTCTGATAATTGAAGTTGGAGACAAATCTTTGGAGAAAAAAAGTATGGTGTCTTTGAAACAGTAGATAGTGTAGTTGTATTCAGTGAGTTATGTGAGAAAAAAATATGCTTGAGTGATTTTTGATGTGTGTAATGAGTAGAGTAATAAGCAAAAACGTTTCTTGGAGTAGAAAAAAAAATTGGCATAGCCACCACTCTGACATGCTACATGCAGGCCCCGCGGAATGATTTTCAAAGTGAGGGAGGGGCCTAGCTGGGGGGGGGGGGGGGGGGGGCAGGGATAGAGAAGAGGTACGCCGGCTCCATCCTATTGTACATGTATACTACTGTATCCGTGTAGGCACACTAAACCACCACCATCATCTCCTATTTTTTGACATCTTACCCTTTTGATATTGTTTACTAGGAACTGATTGATTAATAATTCAATCGTTTTAAGAGGCACAATTTCACAAAATTTCCTCACAATCTTTGGTTTCCTTTTTTTCTCCTCCTCCTCCATAAAATCAACATCACCATCAGGCATCAAAGGGGGGAGGGGAGAGGGTGAGGTGGGTTCATTTTTTTTTTTTTACATGTGCCTCTCAAATTTGTTTGGAACAGGTGGCTTGAGCCCTCCCCCCCCCCTCCCCCCTCCCCCCCCCCCCCCCCCCCCTCCCCCTCCCCCGAACCTCCAGGACCGCTTTTGATTATCCTCCTCCTCCTCATCATCACAATGATACTCACCACCCACCTAATCAATCTATCCCTTATCATCATCACCAGCTACTCCCCTTTCCCCTTCGCTTCTCCATGGTCGGAATACTCCCCGTGGAGCGGGACATGTACACTATCATGTGCCGATGAGTGTACCCAATGACCGGAGTAACGATAATTACAATGTAAAGCGCTTAGAAACATACATGTAGTATTAAGCATCATACAAATATGATTAATTCATTATCCAGAGACGGGGACAGGGGGACACAGTGCCCCCACTGTTTCAAGTACCCAAAAGGTGCCCCTTTTTACATACGAAAAGTGCCTCTTTAACTTTGTAAGAAGTGCTCTTTAATTTTGACACGTGCCCCTTTCCCTTCAACAAGTTTCCACTTTCCTTTGCAGTAATTGTCCATTTTTCATTCTCATAAGTGCCCTTTTTAATCTCTAGTAAGTGGCCCTTTTCAGGTACGAGAAGTGCCCCTTGTCATTTTTGACAAGTGCCCCCATCACCTCTGATAATTGCCCTATTCAAATCAGAGAGGTGTCCCTTATACTTTGACAAGACAGTGCCCCTTTTTCTTTGTAAAAAGTGCCCCTTCCCCTTTTAATAACCAGGCCTACCCTTTTTTAACTCGGATAAGCGCACCTTACATTTTCACATGTGCCCTTTCTCCTTTCTAACAAGTACCCCTTGTCCTAATGATACGTGCCCCCATAAAGAGAGCCCCTTCTACTTCTCACAAATGCCTCTTTTCATCTTTGGTAAATAATTTATTTCAGATACGAGAAGTTATGCCTTTTCACTTTAGATAGGTGCCCCCTTCAGCTCCGATAATTGCTCTTATTCACATCAGAGACATCGTTTAACTTTACCTCCCCCTCCTGAAAAGTGCTCTCTTCATCTCTGATGTGTATCCCTTTTCACTTCTAATAACTGCTCCTTTTATTTTGACATGTGCCCTTTTTCCTATCTAATAAATGCTCTTTTTCCTAATTCTTATAAGTGTCCATTCCCCCTTTCATAATTACCCCTAAGTTTTCATTTCTTATAAGTGCCCCGTTTATTTTAACATGTGCCCCCTTTATTCTTTTTGATAAGAGCCACTTCTCCCTTTTCATAAAAGCCCTCTTTTACCTCCGATAAATGCCCCTATTAAAATCTAGTTGGTACGCCTTTCTTTCAACTAAAGCACATTTTCCTTTGTTATAAGTGCCCCTTATTCATTTTCATAAGTGCCCATTTACACCTCTGATAATTTCTCTTTTAATAATTCAACTCAATTCAATTCAATTCTTTTTATTCATCCAAATTCACAAGAATACATGGAAATTTGTTTTGGTCACAAATTGTAAAAATACGTAAGATATATATATATATATATATATAAGTGCCCCTTTTCTTTTCTAATACGGGACCTAACCCATTTTCATAAATGCCCCTATCAAAATATGATGAGTGCCCCTTTTCCGTCGGCAAATGTCCATTTCCCATTCACCTTTTTTCATCCCGTGGTGAGTGCCTCTTTTTGAAGATGTAAGAGGTGACCAATTTTCACCTCTGATAATTACCCTTTGTACTTTGACACGTGCCCCTTTTTCTGATAAGTGTTTTTAACTCTTTCGAAAAGTGTCCCTTTTCCCTCTCATCATTAAACGCGCCCCTTATTTCAAGCGATTGAGAGCAATTTACGCTCGCTCGCATTTATATATTATATAATGTTATTATTTATCAAAGGTCGTTTAGTCTTCCGTTACGAGAATGTGCTTATGACCCCATCAGGATTGTTTCTCCTCCCCCTTTCATAACATGTACATTTTCTCTTCGCTCGCTCGCATATGAATTTTTAGACCATCTCACCCAACTGCGAATTATTTTTCAAAATGCTTTGCAATCTTGTGAAGAGTATCCGAAGTACCATGTCTGTTTTAATCTTAACTATACGCACGCCTCAACGTACAAAATGCATTTATAACACAACATACTCTGTAACAATTTTGAACAGGTTTTTATTCTCAAAGAATATTTCATATTTTCACAAACGACTGTGGCAATGGTTCATGATGATTAAAACATGGAATAATAACTTTAATAGAACTAAGGATAACGCTTTTTCAATCCTGCATTACAAAAAGATTCAATATTTCTAATTTCACCTTTCATAGAAAACTTCCGAGGACACATCTATACTCATTCTAAAAAGAAACGTCTAAATTACCACTGTGCTTCATATTGATTAAAACAGAGGAAAGGTATGAATTTACAGGAACTATTGGATCAAGTTAAAAATTTAACATTTCTGATCACTTCTCACTTCATCGAGAAATCAAGAGGACAAAACTATATTCTTTAACAATTTTAAACACATTTTAATATTATTCTCAAAAAATACCTCATCACCACTGTGGTTAGTGTTCGAGTAAAAAAAGAGAGAGATAATATGCATTAAAACAACCGCTTTTTAAATCTATAAATTCAGATAAAATGTCCATTCATCGATAAAATATTGAAAACAGACACGACAATAGTCTTTAACCATTTCGTTAACACATTTTTCTTAAACAATACTTTACGTCCATTGTATTTCTTCTTGGATTTAACAGAGATAAAGATTTTTTTTTCTCCAAACTTAACTCAAATTTTATAGAAATTAAAGAGGAAACGATACTTGATTAAAACATTTTGAAAAGACTTAAATCTCGAAGATCAACCCATATGCTGGGATTTAAAAAAGCGATGATACGAATGAATTAACACGATAACAGCTATATCAATTCAAATTACTAATTTCATGAAATAAGGATATTTTATTTATTTTGAAAAGACATTTCATTTATTTTGAAACGATCTGTTATAATCTCTCAGAATACTTCAGAAGCACTGTGCTCTATGCTTGAGGAAATACAGAGGGATGAAAAATATTATTTTTTCCTTCATATTAGATTGCATTAAGTCAATCAACATTTTTTATTAATAGATCATTGATCATATATCATAGAAATTTAGGGGTAAACGAAAATAATCCGTTATCATTTTGAACAGGTTTTTAATAAGTAATCATTCTTTATAACCGCTGTGCTTTATCTGTAATATGATAACGGTTATTTTTATTAGAAGATGGATAATCCCTCAAGTCAGAAATCAACATTTCCGATGCACTCGTATTCCATCAAAATTCAAAGGAGAACATATATTTTAGTGCGACATCAACTTGTTGCCTTTAAATTCTCTTCCATTGCTTCCACTCTGTAACAGTGAGGGATCCATAATACCGGGGAAAGGGGCATCGTTTTTATGAATATCTCGATTACAAAAAAAAGACATTTGATAAAGATACTCAAAAGTGAGTACGTCTGGTGAATGAGCAGGCGCTGAAATGCGGGAAAACAAGTACAGAGAACAAAATCCGGTCATAAATATTACGACTCGCTAAAATGGAATGGAATAAAAAAAGAGATCAAAATTTATCCGATAAAGATACGATGTAATATGCAATGCAATGTCTATATCGTCACCATGGACATCATTTCTACCCTATTCTGACTTGGTGGGGGGGGGGGGGGGGAGGATCATGTGAGCGGTACTCTTTATATGCGTGTCAATATCCGTGCAAAAGTCGCTTCGATTCGATTGGATATTCCGTGGCAAAGATTTTAAAACTTGCCTTTAGAAAGCCCAGTCAGAATAGGGTTAAGATATCATGACCAAAAGCTGAACCAAAATGACATCCAGTGTTAAAAACCACTCCCCATGAGTGAAAAACAAAGAACAAACAAAGTCTTTTCCTTTAGACGGTCCTGGATATTACACACTCACAAAAACACAAAACACACACTTTCAAGACATTGGAACAGTTCCTCGTTGGAACAGTTCGATTGTGATCCTGTCTTTACTGCACTTAATGGAGGTCTTAGGACCCGACAGAAAATTATTTTGTACAGAAACCATGGGTCCATCCTCCACCCTTCCTCATCAGCTAACAAGCAATAGCTTACTGTCTTCTTGTTGTACCGAAATAGTCCAGATATACAGGTCAATCTATAAATCACTCCATACTGCTCAGGTCAAAGATGATCTTTCGAAACGGCTCGAAGTTCGGTTTGCTTGAAACTATGCTCAGATCATAATACCTCGGTCACACCGCAAAAAACCGACTCCAAACCGTTCTCTAACCGATTCTTGACCATTCAAGGTGATGTACCATTTAGTTCGATCTGGTGCCATCTGATGTCGGTCTCGTCGGTGTGACCGGGGTTTACCCAGCAATGAAACGCTGCATTCCGAAGTGGATACTTGCATCCTGGAAGAAGCATGTCCAAGCCTGGTGAGAAACAAGTTGAGACAAGCTAGACATCAAACAAAAGTCGCAACCGTCTCTTCAAATTTTAAATAAATCTTAGATCACAATAATGTTCTACGCGTGATCGGTAACCAAATACCCTCTTGTTTATGAGTGTAATGGCATGAAGTCTATTCGGCGACCTCAGAAGGTGGTCAAAACGAAACGCAATCGACGCCGCAGTCGGGTCACCGGATGAACTTAATAGTCTTTATTTTACATCCTTTTGAGAACATGCACAAAATACTCGCATACAGTCTCCGAGAGAACACCGTGCGAATTTTACTGATGGCGTTCTTGTAACGTTGATCGCAGTGAGAACTCCTTGGTAATGCGACTGGGAGATCACACAGCTGTCGGACGTGTACCAATGACCAGAGGTGTGGGAGATGATAGAATTCTTTGCTATGACCTGTTCAATGTAACAACAGACACGGGCATTGTAGGTATGCTCAACGCAATATTCGACTTTGCTGCACACCGGCGGCACAACCGGCGTCATTGCGGGTGATGTGTTCTCCTGCGATCCCTGGTTCAGCGAAGCGTCTTTCGGTTTCGCTCCAGCTGCTGGCGGTAGTTTCTGCTGGTGTGGAGAAGAGTCCGTTTTCTTTGGTATTTTCTCCGGGACGACCGATGTGTTTTTGTCCGTGAGAGTTCTTTTCAGTGGTCTGGAAAGCGGCTGGTAGACTCGATAAACAAGTGGCAAAGGTCCGACCTGTTTGGATGGAAATCATGAGAGAAAAATATATTATTTTATTGGAGGCAATGGCGTAGCTACAGGGGGAGGGTATGTGCCCCTTTTCAATTGTGAAAAAAGGAGAGAAGGAAGATATAAAAAAAAGAAGGTAGAGGGGGGGGGGGGGTGTGAAAGAAGTTGATACCAACTCTACCCTATCCTCCACTCACTGGATTGCTTTGCTCTCCCCTCTCTCGTCATTCATCAGACTGGTAAGTCCGGTATCCCCTCCCCTAAAGGCCCTTTATAGACGAGTTAAAACTAGATATTTAAACGCCATTTTGTTCCTACTCTTTCACAACATTCATATTAATTTACAGTGATTACCTGTGTGTTCTAAATAAAAAGACTTTGAGCGCCATTCTGTTTTTTTTTTTATAAATCAACAACAAAAAACGGACGTCTAAGTAAAAGACTCTTTCTGTAAATAAAAACTAGATGAACCTTCGACTGCGCGCAGTCCATTATGATGCCTCCGCCATAAAGCGATTTTACCAACCAAAACAGAAGCAATTTTTAAAATTCAACTTCGATTATAAACCATTAACAGGTTCTAAGAATATCGTGATTACAAGCTTTGTTTCATATACATGTATGACCCTTTGATCTTTGACCTCATGACCCTAAACACCTAATCAGTTCATTGGCTCTGCAAGATACATATATGTCCTGAATTTGATAGTAATCAATCTGTCAGTTCTAATAAGAATGCATTCGCAAGCTATTCTTGAATACATAATGCGCCCCATGACCTTTGACCTCATGACACCAGAATCTACTCAGTTCATTGGCTCTGCAAGGTACATACATGACCTAAATTTGGCAGGAATCCATCAATCTGTTCTAATGACAATGCGATCATAAGCTATTTTTGCATACATAATGAGCTCTGTGACCTTTGACCTTATAAAAAAAAAATAATAATATGGTTATTTATATAGCGCCGGTATCCGCCAGGTTCTGACGCTCATGGCGCTTTACACATGACCCCAAAATCTAATCAGTTCATCGGCTCTGCAAGATACATACATGATATAAGTTTGGCAGGAATCCATCAATAGGTTCTTAAGAAAACGCGATCACGAGAACGGGACGTATGTATGGACAACCCGACATAAAAAAGGAGTTACAACAATCCACTACTTCCTCGATGACTGGATCCAAATAAGCTTTTTGGAGGTCCTGTTTTTTTAAGTTTTCACATGGTCTGATTATATTGATGATCCGTGATACGAGTTGCTGTCCAAACCAAATGACGTTTTGGACTACAACCACAGATTCAGGATGTGGCTTCCCTTTAAAACTTTCGTTACTGCAGATGTGACAATGTTAAAATCTGTTCCGGTTGAACAATGTAGTAGTAGTGTATTAAAGTATTTATTCACTGGAAAAACTGAGGGTAATTTTGTGTACGACGGATCTTTGAGTACTATCATGGCCAACCCAGAGATGTGTTTCCTCAATTTATGCTGAACAATGATCGTGATTGGCTAAAACAATTCCCAAGTCGGACATAAAGTTTTTCTAAATTTTGTTGAACACATAGTCGCCCTCATGTTGGGCAAGTTTTTACAACTAATATTTAAGAGTGATTGGTGTTACTTTACGAAAATACCCAGAGAGAGCTTACATCGTCAATGACCTCCAGTATGCAACAATAATATCTTAACATCGAAACTTATGATTTCAAAAGACTCTTGATAATGTTTACTTAAGAACTGTTTCCATTATACCTTTCCCATCCGATCATTTTTATGTCTATGTGTCGAAATTAAATGGCCGAACTAGAATGTTGTATTCGGTATAGATAGTTTTTATCTCGACAAAAAGTCTACTTCCAAGTAATGTGCTTTGCTGGGTGCAAGGTTGGTATGTGGGGTATGTTTTCTAAACTCTCGAACTCTCTCTCCCGCATTCGACACCTTTTTTTCTTTTTCAGAAAGTAAGGTCTGATTTAGGAATTGTGCCAACAAACACGGATAAATTACTTTCTAAACCCAAACATGCGAGTCGATGCCAGACAAAACAAAGCTGTTCTGTAGATTTCAATTTTAACAAGGATGTCAACGTCTAAAAAGCCTCGCGAACGATAAGGCGGAAACTACATAATACTCCTGTAACTTTTGAATGTAAACTATTCAGAAGGAATGACTTTTAGTCTTATAAATAAATAATTTTGCCAGAAGTTGTAATGGTAGCAAATAACCTGTGTAAAGTGACTATAAGTTATCCACATGGTATTTCAACTGCAAATTTCAGTACAGCCATCTATGAATATAACATTGTATATTTCAAGCTTTAGCTCCTTTGTTTAAGTAAATTGTTCTGAACCGAGTGAGACCCAATGGTGGTAACTGTGTCGTTCTTTAAATTGAAGCATTATTGTATGGGAGGTAATAAACAGCCCCATTTTGATCCATATCCGGTTGGGTACAAGGGGTAATTGTAATGACATTGACCAAGACTTGTATTTTGGAGGTAACTGTACAAAGAAATGTCATCAGGTTGGGTGTTAGGACCAAAAAGGTAACAGACACCTGATTAACAATACGCTCTGAACATCATTGAACAGTATGTCTATTGCATTAGAACTTGACACGACACTTACCCGACCCCATGTATAAATGTAAGCTACATCCATTAATGTGTAGTCGTCTGGTAGAAGTTCATCCTCACTACCTCTGTACATCACTTCAATCTGGAAATCAAGTTGGAATAAATAAAACTTAAACAAACTTCATCACATCGTCAATAAATAGCCAATTATATATCATGGCAGGATTACCAGAAGGGAGAAAAATAGGCCGCCGCCTTTTTAACTACGTACAGTTACATCCTCTTTGTATTTTGAAAGAACAGTAGATTTTTGCTATTTTCAAGCATTCCGGAGCCATGTCTTATGAAAGGGTTGCGATTGATCCGGATCCGACTCGCATGTTTGCAAACTTACAACCTCCTATTTCTTTGGTACAGATTTTTTTACTCATTTGTGGCTGTTATAAGAAGGGGGTACTGGATAAGCTTTTGAATCATCCTAAAAGGACCGGACTGGTGTCAATCTCCTCGTTGTGTCTGGGGTACGAAGTAATGTATAGCTCCCCGACCTTATTATATTTCATGAAAGGGATGTGAATGAACTTGATACTAAATTTCCGTTTGTGTAACTCGATATGTTGCGCGTGGAACGTGAAGAGTCAAATGTCATTTCGGAGAAGGTTGGTGGATTGAATGAAGTATTCACTGATGCACGTGAATTTATCTCTCATCAACTATATCTAGATTATGAGCATACATGACGGGAAAGTGTGAAGTATAGAACGAATGCCTTATGAAAAAAAACGCAATTAGAATATACTCCAGAATCAAGATTATTATAACATCGTGTGCTCCTTAGATCTTTGTTTTTCCTTCAAAATTCTAAACTGGTTAGATCGATTCCTTTGACAAAAATAATCTCTGTTATCACTGTGAACAACATGTTCATGACATAATTAGTCTAACGTTTAATTTCATATATTGTGTGATTTTCCAAAAAGAAAATCCTTATCAGGGAGACTATCCCGGACTAACATCCAGAACAACGCCTGTACAACAACAAAAAGTACAAAATCCCCGGACAACTACCGGAAGAACAAATATCTCGGTATTAAAACAACCCCTACAAATTAGGTGAAATTTTCTGCAGTAGCACTCCACGTGCAATTGTCGTTGTACAGTAGGTAGTTTTCCAATCGCTGTTTTTTCTGGGGTGATAGCCCAAGGGGACATTTTCCCAGAGTAAAAAAAAAAGGGTAATATTTTACAACGGTATGGAACCGACCAAAGACAGCAGCAGAGTATATCCCTGCAAAGAGGAGATGAACAATGAAGTACATATAGACGAGAACAGAATGGAAATGTCGAAATGACAAAGAGGGCGGACAAACCTGGTAGGCTAGTGATAATCCAAACTTGTGTCGGATAAACTTTTTGATGTGACCAATGGAAACAGCTGCAGGACATCTCAAATACCGTTTATCAACAATCTGTGATAAAAAATATGAACAATTGTATTTTCAGTTTATATTTCATTTAGTGATACGGAAACAAAAGCAATTTTTTATACTCGAAACAATATGTAATCAATATCCAACGAAGGGACGATTAATCTTATCAATACGGCAATACCATGACATGTGGCACAGTGCATTTTAATTCTTCTTCAGTTATTATAATTATTTTGTACTAAAGAGGTTTTTTGAACAATCAAAAACATCCAAGGCGGTTTGCTGGAATGCTATGGACGTCCTTAGAGGAGCCCGGATCTAAACGGATGGAAGAACGGATGTATCCGAATCGAGCATGACAACACCGTTAACACCTCCTCAGTAGTGATCAGTAGCGTGACCCTGTATTATTTGACTGGGGCTTTAAGAATTTGATCTTTTGAAATGTTCATATCTGACGCTACCTACTATGCCTTAAAAAAAAAGATGTTGTATTGCCCTTTACGACAGACCCAAAAATCTTGATATCTAAGGTCAGTTTTTAAAGTTTTTTGTTTTTGTTAACGTTTTACCCCCAAAAAATATGCATTAAAGCATTTAAAACTGAGAAATATCAGCTAAAAGAGAGACCTCCCCCCCCCCCCAAAAAAAAGATTTCCGACCGGCCTACCGATGTTTTGGCACCTAAAGGGCAATACAACATCTTGTCTTTTTAGGCCCTATATCCTTTCCATTCAGCCTTCAACCTTAAAGTATTAAAAGTTCGATGTTGTGAAGGACTTTTATGGCTTACCTCATCAGAGAGACCGTTAGCGTCACCGTTCGCTTTCGTCTTGCCATTTATCGGACCGCAGCTACTTTTCAACGTCGTCGCTCCGTTCGGCTTTCCTTTTAATCGCTCCTGTGCCAACATTTCAGCTGCATCTGTTTGAACTCCCCGCTTCTCTTCCGGTGCCTTAGCGTTCCCACCCTGCTTCGCACCACTAACCGCAGCTTTCAGTGCCGCCGTGACCGCCGCGCTCACCACGGCTCGTGTATCTCCGATCGGCGGTGCCGCTACGGTATTTCCTCCACTGCTACCGGGTGCGCTCCCAACAGCGGTGCTCACACCAGCAGCGCTGCCAGTAGCGGTGCTCCCATCAGCGGCACTACCAGTAGCGACGTCTACATTACTCCCGCCGCTCTCACTGCTCGTATCGCTGCAGCTACTGTTACCGCTGCTACTGCTGGTTGACGCGTTGTCCCCGTTACCGACGAGACGCGTTATGGCGGCGGCGGCTGGTTTAGGTTTGGGTATGTGAATGCTCTGCTGATAGTACTCGAGCGAGAGGCTAAGGTGTTCATCGTCGGTGTAAATAATGAGCTCTTGTTCGTCCATCTCTCCGCGTTCTTCTCTGGATACGGTCTGTGCGAGGCTAGTACCTAAAGTCAAATATACATGGTGAAAATGATAATGTTGCTCATAAGAATCACAACTAAGCTTTCTGTCTCATTTAATTATGTTATTCATTGCAAAGATGACTGCAAAACACAAGTTCGTTCAGTTTGGTTGTCAACAAAAATGTTAACTCTTCAAACTTTCAATCAGGTACCGCCTTAGTAATGGGCGAGTGAAATGTATATGGCCATTTGTTACACCATACGTTACCAATTTTAATGGAACCAAATTAACATCGAATGTATCACTATTATGTATTTGATCAAAGCTAATGGTATGTCTCTGAACTTAATACAATCATCAGATAAACTACATTTTTTGGTAACGTACCGGATAAAGTACCTTGGACTTGCCTATTCATGCACTTCTCAATCGGCTGTTTACTGTCCATTGTTACTTTACTTACAATTTCTGGTTACTTATTCCGTCGAACTTCGGAGGAAAAATGTCATGTAAGAAAGAAAGGGTCGAATGATTAACTTACTGGCTTGTGGATGTGACTTGTAAAACTCTCTTCTCCTTTTCATTTCTCCTGTAGATAGAAAGAAGGAAAATATAAAGCAAGAAAAACATTCATATTTTCTACTGTTGTGTTATCTGATGAAAATTTAAGGTTTAACACCTAAATTGTCTATATTACATTTTACAAATAGAATGTCAAAGAGGAATGCCGCTTCTGTCGTACAACTACGTCAGGGACTACCAAGGTCTTAGACACACCATGAGAGGGCTATCATACACTAAGTTCATATAAAACGAACTGAGCACTTACTATATTGCATCTTTAAGGATTACCTAAATTGCCTTTATTGGTTTGCCTAGCATGAGTAATGATGAAGTGGAAATGACGATGCATGTGCAACGGGGGATATAATGACCGTCATACACGAGGCACAAGGCGTTGTTTTGATTGCGCTATTAGTGTGTAAATCATGTCTGTGAAGCCAGTAATCTTGTAGTAATTCACATAAATTTGTATTTTGCATTCACTTTGTTTACAAATGCAATGTCACATAATAGTAACAGATCACGCTAGTCAGTGACGCATTCCTACGTCACCAAAATGACGCTTTGCGTGCAAGGGGCATAACTGTCTACAATGCGTTTCGGTTCGCTTATATCGGATACAGTGGATTTGATAAGTGCATACAAATCTCGCACGCTGGGATTTCATTCCAATCTGAATTTTTCAGAACATGGCCTACTAAATTTCGAGAGCGTTTAGTTTGGTTCCAAGAAGAGATTATTTTCATAAATATCTTTTGGGGCAGTAAGTAATTTAGAATGTGCTGCTTCCCTAAATCGTATGCGAATTGGATAAAACCTACATGAGGTGGCATTGTGGTTAGCTCTATCTCCACCTTTTAACCGACTCTGACAAAAGCTGATTTGAAACCAAATGGACTATTTCATATTTTTTCTCCATAATTCCGTGGGCACTCTATACGAGCTGTATATACATGTATATACTATTACTTTCAACAAAAAAATGTTTTCATTTACCTTTAAACATGCTTGGAACCAGTTTGTACACTAGATTCTGCAAAGTTTTGTCAGATCTGTTAGTATAACAAAACAAAATATATAAATAAGTAAGTTTAAATACTGCAAATAAAATTCATCTCGAAGAAAGTAACTAAAGGTACTTTACTATGAAACAGAAAGAAACGAGGGAAGAAAGAAAACCAAAATAAGGAGTACGAAAACAAAGAAAAGATAAGTAAATATCGAATGTCAGCATAATTATTGCGGATGTTCTAAAGAACTTTAACTCGAGTCTCATGACCAAAAAAAATGTCAAAATCTATACAAATTTCAGTGAAAATGGTAAATCTTTCTTTGGGGAGAATTATAGAATCCAATCAATAATAGTATACAAATACAAATCTTCATGCAGTTATTTTAAGCCCCCACATGAAAAATTTCTGCTCTTGATTGAACATATACGCTGTGTCGAAAGTGGCCAACATTGATGCGTTGACAAACAAAATAATGAAATATAATTTTGCATGACTCACTAAAAATAAAAATAAAATCAATGATAACTATCCTTAACTGAAGTGTCATAGGAACAAGCAACTTGATCAATCATTGTATTCATTCCGAGTATACCATATACTGCGGTAGATCGGGATTCTCAAGGACAATTACATTAAAGAAAATTCAGGCAAGGAGAGGAAGGATTCTTCCTTTTCAGGTTCGTTTTAATCCCATTTTTGGCTGAGATAAAAGAACACAAAAGTATGACAAATTTGGGTTTGAAAGGAGACACGCGCCCCCATGCACCCTCTCAGATCCGACCCTCTCGGATCCACCACATAAATTATCTTTATGGTTCTTTCTTTCTTTGGGTTATTCTTCGGATAACGATCAACTGCATGGTGCTAGCAGAATATGAAAACACAAACATTGTGTTACCTGATATTTAGTAGAGGTCTAGTCTTGTGAACCTGTGTGTCGCATACCGGGCATTGCTTACTGGTGTGCAGATATCGAACGATGCAACTCCGACAAACTGCATTCAAAACAAAAGAAAAATATGAAGATAAGCCGACGCCCTTTAATAGCCAATATTGAATCACATTATTTACATTGTAATCTCACTATTTAAATTTAGTACGATGTAGCCTACGTTTTATTTGGGGCATGAAAATTAGACTCTTCACACTCTCTCTGTAGAGAGACAGAGAGAGCTTTATGTATTAAAAAAGAAAGAAAATTATAGAGAGATTAGAATGAAAGTGACATAGAGATCAAAAGAAAGGGGAACGTGAGGGAGGGAGAGAGAGAGAGAGAGAGAGAGAGAGAGAGGGGGGGGGGGGGGAGAGAGAGAGAGAGAGAGAGAGAGAAAGGGGGTGTAAAGATTTGCCGAAGAAAAATTAACATACGAAGAAAAATTAACATAGGGAGAAAAAGTCGAAAAGAAAAGAAACGATGCGTTATAACTAAGACCAAGAAAGAGGTATTGAAGTTAGTTACTTAGTTACTTAGTTAGATATATAGTTAGCTAGTTCGTTGATTCGTTGGTTTATTTCGTTTGTTTCCATTATTTTTTTTTTTTTTTTATCGATTTGGGGGATTATTCAAATCCAGAGAGACGAGAACTATATACTCACATGAATGTAAACATTCGATGATGCTTGTAGCATCCACGATATATCCTTTGCACAGTGAACATGTCAGGTGTTTATTAAGATCCGTTATCTTCAGCCGCGTTTTGCGATGCATGATGACTCTATAAATACGACGAAAGCAAATAGAATACCAATTAAACAAAGATAGAAAATAGAACTATAATGTTAATAGTAACAGATTAATTCCCTCTCCACTATTAATAAAGAGGAATGGAATTAGAGAGTTTTAGAACGCACATTAGATTTGATAACCTTCAACTGCGCTTCAAAATAGCTTTCGAAATGTTGAAAACATTATCACTCACATAATGTTCGTTTTTGTTAAACTGCGAAATGGCAAATGGCACTTGACACTGAGATATCATTTTAAATAAATACCAATGTAACAAAATACCACTGTTTTGAATATGGGTACAAAGGCTTATGGGTCATTCTATTAATATTGTTTTTGTAAATGCATAATCAAAGTAGGTCTCTATATATCCACAACCAGAAGCGACAAGGTACTATTTTCATACTAAGGCGTTTAACAGGATAGGGTTTAATTATAAGTGAAGTTCAAACAGTAATTTTTTAATTTCTAACCTTCATTACATGTATGTCCAATTAAATAAACTAGAATGATGTACTCTCGCCGATATCATGCATGTAAAATGTGTACATGTAGTTTAAACAAAAATAGTATTTCTCAATTGTGACTAATAACAAGCTTTGAAGGTACATGTATATGACTTGTGTACGCTTTCGCCTAGCTATGACGCAAAGACGTTAAAAGCCATTTATTTTCATGAATTTGATCTAGTATACAGCCAAAAATAGTATTGGCTCGTGTTTGAAATCTCTGTTTTAACTGCAATTTGCTCAATCGTATATCGAATATAAACATTATTACTGCCCGCGACTACATTGATCTACACCAACTTTTCCCCAGGGCTATATCATCACGCAAAGTTCTTTAAATCTTGTCCGAAAACCAGTGGAATAGATGAGGTGCCACGAGACGGGGGCATCCCCCTAATTGAGTGACACGGAAATAAATTGAAAAAGGGGAAGACTGAACAGGAGAAACATAGGATAGGACCCCCTCCCATCACCTGCCCTAATCGGTAACTGTCTCAAAGTTGAGTTCAGGTGAGAGGTGACGTTATCATAATTATCTAAGTGTGGAAGAACATCTGAGAACAAAATGTTCCCTGAAAAGCATGGCTACTCAAATGCCCTCATATTGCCTAAATATGACAAGCTTAAAGATGAGGCCCACATTTTTATGCCACATGTTTGTGTAGTCCCATATACATCTTTCAGTGAACAGTGTTTGTTACTTTACCAAGACTGGGCAAAACTTCTATCATTCTGATGATTCCAGAACCTTGCAGTACACACCTATATTTATGTTACATTATCAACTTTTCTGATCACACCGTTTCCTTCACAATGCAATCACATCACCAGAACTCAACTTTATCTTTAAGACCGATGACCCCGCCCCCATGATGACAGTGCACCTCAATGTCTAGACCCACGCGAGCAATTGCTGATAACCACACATAATATTAGCTTTACTCTTGCACAGACACAAGTGGATTTAAATTTTATCGACTTTTTCTTCCCTAAAGTGTTATATGGTGATTTCCTAAATCTTTCACCTGCTCTTTGTTGATACGTTTCTAATTTGAATCGGATTTTGAACCTTATTGCTTTTTCGAGTAAGTCTTCTGCATAGTCAAAATCGTCAAAATCGTCGACAGCTTCAGTTCCAGCTTTCATTTTATGCCGCAAACATGTCGTATACATTGTGACACTATACACTAGCATAGTGATGGGGGTCAGGGGACAAGTGCCCCCCTCTCATATCGAATCATATACAAAGAAGCGGGGGGGAGCGTTAAAAAAAAAGCGGACCTGGAAATTTGATTATATTTATTTTTCCAGCTAGTCAGAGATTTTTTTTCCGGAGTTGTGCTCACCACACCCCTGTTAGTATAGAGCTTAAACGAATAGTTCCATGATTGGACCATCATGTTCAACTGCACAAACCTAGATATTCCTTAAATGACGTGTACACATATTCCCCATAATATATTGGCATATGATCAATAGAACACCGTTATCTGTTACGTTCGGCTCTGAGGAAGTCGACACTAGTCGTGTCGAAATTAAAGACCGGAAGGTATTAGAGCGACCTAATGAATTGGATCCGACAAGTCGGATTATGTCCTGCTATAGAACAAAAATGGCGTCAATATTCGAATCATTGACAGCCAAGTCTTGGCAACTAATTCTTACTTTGCAGACAAAAGCTTCTTATGGGTTTGGTCCCCCCCCCCCGGAACGTCCCTGTTAAGATTAATTTAACCCATGACTCCGAAGTTACTTGATGATAGGGTTCTTCGAATAACAAAAGGAACATATAATAACAAATGCATCAAGATTATAGTTTTTCATGTAGGCCCATCTTGTAGGCCTTTGATATGGGCAATTTGAGTGTCCGGAATTACGAACCTTTTTATATTCTCTCTTTATAATTCATTCGAACATTTATAGAGAGAAACTCACCCTTTGGTATTAACCCTGTATAGTACCGAGATGCTAAATTGCTAACGTCATATTCGCTCGTCGTAGAGGACTGGTTCTAAACATCAGAGTTATGACAGAGATTATGACAGGGTCGCAGAGGCGTCATAACTCCTTAATCAGGGTGTTGTCCTTTATTAAATTATTTGCGAAGTTGAAACGTGTATAACGGACAAGTATAGCTTACAAGCGCTGATTTAGTCAAGAAGTTAGTCTTATGACGGTTTCGAGAAACGGGCCCCAGCAACCTTGACAACTAGGCCAGTATGATGTCACACTTCGGTATATTCTATGCGTCCAGCGCTGTTTCATGAACTATGCATTATGTATTTACCCTGTTAGTTTTGCGGGCTGGTACGAACAGACAACAAACAAGAGAACATCCGTATTATATTATTGACTGTTGAATTACGGTTCGCTAGACACATTTCGTGTAGTGCACATGCGTGTGTACACAATTACTGAATTGTGCAGAACCGACAACATATACAAACATGTATATTCAAAATTTACTTTGAGAGATAATACTATAGCGCCCGGTAGAGTATACATTATGGCCAGGCTCAGTGTAATTTACATGTATCACAATGATATCAATAATAATAATAATAATAACTATACTAATAACAGCAAAGGACATTTTTATAGCGCTCATATTAACAATTTACTTGGATGGATAATATAATAATACGTCCGAGAAAATATACATATTATGGCAGGCTCGGTGTAATCTACATGTAGTATAATCTACATACAATGATGATGATGATCAATGATGATGATGATAATAACAATAATGATAATACATAAATAAAATAAAAAATAATGATAATAATAATAACAGCAATAATAATTATCATAATAAAATTAATAGGTCTACTACTGGATGAAATTAAAATGAACTACTACTATACTACTACTACTACTACTACTACTACTACTGCTACTTCTAATAATAGTAATATTACTACTTATAACGATTATAATGATAATAATGGATACTTCGACAGAGCTCGTATTAATCACGCACATTGCTCAAGGCGCTCCTATTTACGACAATGTATACATGTTTTGTTCAGAAAATTAAAGTTGCACAAGGGAAATGTAACAATTCCCTGCTTGCATTACCACGACAACCGCACTATTAACCAGTACACATAAAGAGCAGAGAGGAAAACGGGGATCCCCCTCTAACACTACTGCCCTTCCGAATACGAGTCACGTGATGGCTATGTCCATTATGGGGGTTCCCCTTATCCGAGACGGGGAAGCTCCGTTATATCAGACTGATGGCAGGTTATATCATGGACCTACTAACTCGAAGTTTTGTCATAAAACTATTGGTACGGTTTGAACAACGCACAGTCTGTCTTCCAACGGGGGTGGGGGGGGGGGGGGTGGGAGGGGGAATTTAATTTCACATGCAGTTTAAGGTTAAATAGAGAAACAACAACGAAAGTGACTCAATAAACAAACTATGTGGATGTAATTATAGTGGGTGGGTGATCACAAGTTTTCTGAATATTAAGGTTTAAAGAGTTTCCATTTAATTAATCCTTAAAAAAAAAAATATCTGAATAATGGCTTAGAGGCTTGTACTCATCAGCTCGAGTTTGCCAAATAGCCCGCTATTTTGTGGTCCGTCCTCACCATGCAGCCCGAAGACTCGCACTATGCGCGAACACCGAGCAAATTACTCGCGCTCGAGTTTCGAGCTGAAGAACTTCGGGCTAATTTCCCGAATCACAAAATGGCGGGCTATTTGGCCAACTCGAGCTGATGAAGACAAATTGAGGGAATAAATAATGAACACGTTTTATTTGCAACTACTTTTGAACAATCAACGCAATTTCAAAAGCATTGTGCGTCACCTATTGAATTGTGTGAACATGACAATGACGTGTTACGTGATGCGAACATGATTCATGTGGGGACATACAATCGACAATAGGGTATTGAGTTTCTATTGACAAATCCAATTGAGTTGATTTGTCGAAAATACTTAGTTGCGATCGTGTTAATGTGTGTATTATTTTGTTGATCAGAAACGCTTGCATGACTAAAATATTCTTTAAAAGGATAGCTCATTTTATGCCCGCGTATTCGAAACGTGACACGAAAAAGATGAAATTCTTGGACAAAATTGTCAAGCCATTTGTTTGTGTGTATTCCCATATATTACAATTTCTGTCCACAGTGCATGTGGCTTTCAGCAAGCCCGTGTCCATTTCTTATCCTTTTCATTGTAAAACCTCATATTACACATCGAGTGTATCAACCTCTTCAAACTGGATCAGTATTATGATCATTTCAATTTAACGCAAGAATACATCATAAACATAGCAATACAAACAAAACAAAATAGGCATTAATAATCTTCGAGCAGGGGCATGACTGCTTTGATTTTGCCTGTGACTTGCCGTCCGCCGTTGCCATCGAAGCTAGGTCTAGCCGAGACAGAAATAACCGTCCGTCGCACGCAGAAGGGGGGGGGGGGGGATGAACAAGCCGATATATCCTAGTTCAT